ATCAAATTCAATGATTTTGATACCATTAGATGCGTCTTGACTAGACCTTTCTAATGGTACCAAATTCATTCAATTTGATTCAATACATACGGAGATATTTGCATTTTTTTAAACTGAATTTTTTTTCTTCACCTTTCATCGCCAGGTTCGAAGTTTACCGCAATTCTGCTAGTATTTCTAATTTCTGATGCTTACGTCGAATTGCTTCAGGTCGACTCCAGATTTTGAAGGGGATGAAAGACTGAGTTCCAATAGTTACATGATTCTTGAATCATTTTTAGCTTCCAAATATGAAGCACATATCTCTGATAAAATACCATGTCAGATCAAACAAAGTGAAGAACAAAGCATACAAAGACATAGATGGAAGGGAGAATGATACCCCTATAAGAGAATTTGCACATACTATATCTGTAAAAAGTCTGGAAATATACGAGAAAATTTGATATGTCTGTAAAGACACATAAATAGCACTTTTACATATGTTTTACAGATATATAAACACGTAAATCGTGGATGTAAAAGTCTGTTTGTCCTAAATTTTTATATGTATTTATGTTTGCACACATGTAGAAGTGGCTGTTTACGTATTTTTTCACAGAAAAATATTAAAATTTACAGGCGTATTTTTCTTATAGAGTAAATGTACATGTAATTAATATCTAATTTGTATACATATTAATTTTCAATCATGTGTTACAGACTCCGATTCAGTTTCTTGATGGGACTCAACTCCTTGAGCCAGACCGCATCGTACCAGACTTTTAACATTCCTAATTTGAAAGTGTTATATTGAAACCTAAAAGTTTATTTATAGTAAAATAGATATAAAATAAAATAAAATAAAATAATTAAAAGTAAATACTACAATAAAAAAATGATTAGTTATTTCTCGAAACGATTTCTTATCAAAGAAGCCAATTGACTCACTCTTTCCGAATTGCATTAATCAGACTCGACCTTCCATTATAATTATATTGTCAATTTGAAGTCTTTACTACGTAAAATTTCTTGTTATTCAGCATTTGGAAAGACAAGCCCCTATTATTTATCGTTATGCACATCAATATTAAAATTGATCCTGATATTGGCAGTGTATGGGATCACAAGTAGTAAAGCTAGCTATTACTAGATACAGTAATTAAATTCTTTTTTCCCTCTTCTTATTCTTATCATTTCAGCTCAGCCAAATTCAGACTTGCTAAAAAGAAACCACTTCTGATATTTCGAGCTTTCACATGTTTGCTATATTCTTTATATTTATGTGTTTATGTTGTCTCTAATGCATCTCCTCTGCCATCTTCAGTTTTTAACAAAGAAACCAATTATCAGCATGAGTCAGCATCATAAAAATATAATTCAAAAATATTAAAAATTTAGAATCACAAGTTTTGTATTATATCCAAAAAAAGAAGAACAAAAGTCTTACCAAAAGTCATTGCTCTAACAAGTAAATTTTCAGTAAATATCATATGACTTTGCATACTTTCTTTATTCGAGCTACTAATCTAATTAGATAAAATGTTAAAGTTTGTTACCTTTTAAAGTTTACATCATATTAATAATTATCTTTAAAGTTTAAAAACGGAAAAGAATTACTGAAATGCAAGAACATGCGAAATAATTATTATCGTCTATATAAAATTCTTAAATTTTCTATATATAAAATAATAAAAAAATATCATATGTTTCTCTCCTCTAAATTGATACAATAATAATATTTTACAAGTTTCTTATTTAATAGAAATTTCGATTGGTAATATTTACTCCGTCAATTTATAAATTCAGTAAAATTTGTAAATACAGTCTACCACACCTTTCGGAACTTAATGATGGTGTGGCTGTAAAAGGCGTGCTTATATAAGATATTTCTATTTGGTAGTCGAATTTAGGCGAGTGTTTGTGTGATAGAGGGAGTAAACTGTATTGTAAAAAAAATTTGTATTGCTTCCTAGTTAAATAGTTTGTGGAATTTAAGACATACTGTTGCGACTTTGCTTTGTTTTAGCGAATTAGAGGATTTATACCGCAACAAGACTTTGGGAGAGATTATTAGATTGATTGATGTTTGTTCGATATCTAGAGTCTGTGCCGATATCTACG